AGCTAAAGAACAGGGGTCGACTTGGGAGTAAGGCCACAGGGGGACGATGAATGACCCCTCCCAGAGGGAATAAAAGAAGAGTAAAAGGGGAGTGGAATTTGCAGGAGACAGTTGGTTTGCTTCATTGGTTCGTGACTCTCTGAAACTACTTGCCAAGTTCTGCAGAGATTGGCCTGGCAGCTCTCCAAGCCAGATAAGGTCTGTGACTGTAAAATCCTCCCTCGAAAGACTTTGCTGGATGTGAATGAGCAGAATTCACAGCCAATTAATAAAAGGGGGAAGGAGTTTGCTTCCTGCTCTTGGGAAGCATAGGTCAGAACACTCTCTGAACTTGGTTACCCAACTACATAACACCATCCGTGTATTAGTAATACTTTGCAAGAACTTTGCTTTTCCGTCTCTTGAAAAGGAAAAGTTTTTCTTGCACTCTCCCACTTGACTCATCTTCTGTGAACCTTTCTCCTTTCAGCTCGTGTCTGCCGAGGGATCTCATTCGGATGCTGGGTCCGTGTGTGCCGAAAGCCAGCCGGAACTGCCACCCTCCATTGAGCGAACTGGAGGCATTGGAGATTCCAGGCCTCCTTCGTTTCAGTAAGTCATGCAGCAATGCCATGAGAAGCTTTGGAGTGAGCAGAAAGTTATTGGGTTTGAGATGCGGAACACTTCGAGCCTGGAAATATTGGGCCTTTTTTGCAATATAGGTTGCAGCGGCAGGTCCCTAGATTTGGTGGCACATTACAATACAATACAATACAATACAATATCAGAGTTGGAAGGGACCTTGGAGGTCTTCTAGTCCAACCCCCTGCCTAGGCAGGAAGCCCTATACCGTTTCAGACAAATGACTATCCAACTTCTTAAAAACCTCCCGTGTTGGAACATTCACAACTTCTGGAGGCAAGCCGTTCCATTGATTCATTGTTCTAACTGTCAGGAAATTTCTCCTCAGTTCTAAGTTGCGTCTCTCCTTGATTAGTTTCTACCCAGGACAAGACAAGGACAAGAATAGCAATAGCAATAGCAGTTAGACTTATATACCGTTTCATAGGGCTTTCAGCCCTCTCTAAGCGGTTTACAGAGTCAGCATATCACCCCCAACAATCCGGGTCCTCAAGAAGCAATCCCGCCTCCCAGTTTCCCACAGCATTAAATGTGGCAGGTCTAAAGGCCCAAGGCAAAAGATGGCTTCCAGGCCTGACAGGCAGCTTGCCTAGAAACAGAAATACTCATTTGTTGGGGTTTATACTACCTAGTGAAATATACGTTTTTTGCCTTGCAGCCCAAATAGTGGAGGGAGCCGAGAGAACTTGGACAATGAGACAGAGACGGACTCTGTGGTGTCAGTTCAGAGGGAACGGCCCCGCAGGAAGGAGGGTCCCGAGCACGGTGAGGATTCCCCCCCCCCCCCATGAAATAAAAACTGTGGCTGTGTTCGCACAACATGTTTCCTTGTGCTGAATCCTAATTTACTCCGTTTGTCCCTGAGGTTGGATTCCTCCCTCCAATTGATAAGCTAAAATGCAATTGGTGAGTTTGGGAACTGGGTGGATTTAACGTTTGAGTAGTAGTAGTTGTTTTGTTTCTGTGCTTCATATTGATATATGGTCTAATGTTTTGGCCATTTATGATTCTGTTTTGCTTTATTTTGTGGTTCGTTTTTTGTTGCTGTTGTTATGTTTACCCAGAGTTGCGTTCTTTGATTTGGATGGCCTTATCAATCCAATAAATATTAGGAAAGTGTAAATAGAGTATATTTTTAATCCAGCTTGGGTCTCCTTCAAAGATCTGGGCCTTTTCCCGGGCTTACAAGATAGCCGTGCAGGGTCAGGGAAATGCCCGCTTATGTTCAGCAGGCAATGCAGGTGACCTGTGGTGAATTTGGATCACACACACACACACCTTCCTCTCATACTGATCTACTCATGGGGTGCTTGTTTTGGAATTAAAATAGAAAAGGCTCCCCCAAACCTCAACAGGCCACACACAGGAGTGTCAAACTTGATTTCATCGAGGGCTGCCTCAGGGTTGTGTTTGACCTCGGGAGGTCCGGGGGAGTGGTGGCTGGGGTGGGCGTGGCCAGCTTGATGCCACTTGTGTGATCAAAAGCCACTTTTCTTAGTAGTTTGTTTTGGCAACACTGACAGCGAGAATGGAGCACGGGAGGGCCATGTGAGCGCCGTCCTGTGCCGGCAGAGGGCTACAGGAGGCCGTTGGAGCAAAAAATAGAGCACGGGAGGGCCACAGGGGGCACTGTAGGCTGGTTCTTTGCTGTTTCCATGGGCCAGATCTGAGGGGCTTGACAGCCCGGGTCTAGGACAACTCACCGCGGCTGACTCACACCAACCATCTCGCCCTGGCCAATTCATCCAGGCTGACTCACTGCGGCCAATTCGCTGTGGCCAACCTGCCGCAGGACAGCTCAATGTGGGCTTTGTGTTGCTCTAGGTTTGAACCTTCTGAGATTGGAAGTTTTTGAGGCTCAAGTGAGCTGTGATTCTACTTGTCCCTCTCTGGAGTTATCCCACATTGAATTGTCCTGTGGCAAGTTGGGTGTGGCGAGTCAGATGCAGTGAGGCAGCTGGAGTGAGTTGGCCATAGGCAAGTTGTCCTATTACGACATGCATTGCCTTGTCATCCCAAGACAGAAGGTGGAATGGAAAGAGTGAATAAGCAAAACTGGCTGATTTAATTTGTACACAGTGCTTTTCCGCAAAGAAAAAGACTCTGTCTTTGTTTCCTCCAGCCCCCAGGGTGAACGGGATGACCAAGGGGGACCGGCGGCGGGAACTGGGGGGCTATGAAAGCTCCTCCACCCTGATGAGTAGTGAACTGGAGACTACCAGCTTCTTCGATTCCGATGAGGATGATTCCACCAGCAGGTAAGGAAGAGAACGAGAAGGTGAAGTGACTCTTGTAAATGATGCCGTTGGTCGCTTTTTCTTTCTGGGGTTAAGTGACTTGATGATGGAGGATTTTTTCTGACATGGGCTGGGATTGAACCCTGCACTCAGCTGATTTATCGAATAAGTTCCAGATGGTCAGGTTTTCCTCATATGCTAAAGTACAGGTAAAGTAGTCCTTGACTTACAATCATTCATTTAGCTGCTTTTTGAAGTTACAACCGCACTGAAAATTATGCCTTACGACTGTTTTTCATGCTGACGACTTACAGCATCCCCCATGGACGTGTGATCAAAATTGGCAACTAGCTCATATTTATGACGGTGTTTTGCTTCTGCGGATGGTACAATAACAGTTTGTTTAGGGATAATTCAAAATTACAATGCCATTGAAAAAAGTGAGTTAGCTTAAGCTACAGAGTAAAAAATAAGATGTATTAAAAAGTTTTGATTTTAAAAAAAGTTTAATACTTTGAAGGAAAGAGGAGGGTGAAAGAAATCACATCAGCACCTTTTGTGGCTTCTGACAAGGTCAAGGGGGAAACCAGATTCACTTAACAACTGTGGAACTAACTTAACAGCCGCAGTGATTCGCTTAACAACTGTGGAAAGATAGATGATAAAGTGGGGCAAAACTTAACACATCTCTCACTTAGTAACAGAAATTTTGGGCTCAATTGTAGTTGTAGTTCATGAACTACCTGCAACAGGTTTACTCATCAGATTGCCTGTGGACACAGATCCTACTAAGGCAGAGGTGGGGCACGATAGCAATAGCTATAGCAGTTAGACTTACATACCGCTTCATAGGGCTTTCAGCCCTCTCTAAGC